CTGGGAACCGCCCTCTTCTGCTTCGGATATGGCCTGCGTGCTCTCTGCTGCAGCCAGCGGGTATTTGGAGAAGGGCGCATGGTGGGTGGGGAGGGAGGGAGGGTGTGGGATCCTTTGGGGATGGAAAGTGCCTCCTGGAAGTCGAGGGCATGGCTTTCAGGCCTTCGCAAACCTTCCCAGGAGAAATGTTTGTCAGCTGACTCACAAGGGAAGTTTGTCCAGGCCCTCTTGAAGTGGCGGGCCCTGCCTCAGCTAAGCTAGGACTCTGCGGGGCAGGAGGCCGGGCCCTGAGCCAGCCCCGGCCATCTTGTCTCCTTCCTGACCAATGACTCCTCTTTACTCTTCCCCTTTGTTTTCAGGCTCACAGGGAGGAGGACTACGTCCCAGTCGGGGATCCGGAAGTGCCCAGTCCACAAGGGCCTCCTCCATATGAGGAGCCAGCCAAAGAAAACACGGCCGCCTAATGTGGTTGGGCCCACCTTGTACTGTGATGGAATCTGCCTCTCCGTCACCTCTGGCGCCCTGCTGTCTCTCCATGCTGGTGGGCGGGGGGTGGGTGGGGTGTCTGCTCTCCTCTGTCCACGCACACACCGCCACGCTGTGCCTTCTGCTCCTGCCCTTCCGAGTCCCGGCTTGGTCCCCCCACGCTCACCTGCAGCTCTCTCCGGATTGGAAGGTGCTGCCTCCAGCAGCAATCCGCTCCCTTCTAGCACCTTGATAGATTACTGTGGATCTGTGCTGCTGTTTCGGGGTTCTGTGAATCAGTTTTCAATTGTAAGGTGTTTGGGGCAGAGACCTGTCTCCTTGTGAGCGGGTGCCCCCGTGGAAATAAAAACCAGCAAAGTGCTTGGCGGTTGTCCCCAGTGGCTGGTGCCTGGGCTGCACAGCAGAGAGCGTCCCGTGCTGCGGAGGCATCAGGAGTTGGGTGGGAGGGCTCTCCCCACCGCCCCCCGCAGATGAGAAATGGGAGGGAGAACAGGGACCAGACTGGATGTTACATGAGGTGGTTCAGGGGTGCTGGACCCGGGGGGGGGCGGCGCTTAAGGCTTCCCTCCTGGGCCATTTTTGCCAGCAGAATCTCCAATTCAATTCAGTTCGATTCCTTATGATCAAAGGTCAGCAAATAGCTTAAAATGTTACATACAGTTAACAATGAAACACATCCAGACAGTTGGTGCAGGTAAAAATTTTAGTTAGGACAATGTGGATTTTTAAAAGTTTCCTAAGAAGTAATAGTCTCCTGTCTGATTAGGATAGCCATAGCACAAGATCTTGCTACCTTAGCAGTAGTTTCATTACAGATATCAGCTAAAAGAAGAGTAAAACTGATTTGACCTGCCTGGGTAGGCGACCATTATTGGCGTCATATGTTTAGAATGAATCGCGTGATAAAATCGACAAGATAAAAGAACGCCCTCAATTGTCTCGACCTGTCCAGAATTACAAGGGCA